CCTAGGGTTTGGTGTTTTCTGGTGACCAACCTGCTAGTCAAGGAAGGAGCTGACTGGTATGGGGGACTCCTGAGTCTTGTATCCCAGTGGCTAAAGCACTGGGCCATGCCTTCCACGCCCCCTCAGGTAATTTTCCTTCCCTTGGAACAACTCAGATGAGATCATCCTGAAAGCTGTGCACCCATGAAGACTACAGGCCTAAACTGTTAGGCCAAGTTGCTCTTTGCTGCAACATGCATGCATGGTGGCATTGGCACAAAGAGGGTGCCGTGGTCAGGGCTGCTCAGGTGCCCTGCATGGCAAATCCTTCCACAGCTGGTGCTAGGCTACTCGGTGCTGCGCACACACACGTGCCGAGCAGCGTTCAGGGTTCTGTCAGCACCAGCTCAAACATGCTGCCACAGTCAAGCCTCAGGCGTACCCTGGCCAGGCTGAGGGTCTGTTTTAGCCCTACAGACCATTGTCATTTTAAGTATTATAGCCCTCCCTCCAGCAGACTATACGCACATCTGAGAGGTCCAGGAAGCGGTTCAGGAAGATGAATGCCATGTTCTCCCAGCTGACTGCCTAGTACAGAAAGGAACCCCAAGTGAGACCAGGCAGCTTATTTTCACAGCCACAACTCTCCTGCCTGGGCGATGGCTATAAAGGACGTGGTTCTGTTTGTGCCACAAAATCCCACTTGCAGCACAGGTAGTGAAGGAGAACTGCACATCACGGCTGACCATCCCTGAAGACTACTTCACAGGCAACCACTGGGAACACCAACCCACTAGCCACAGGCTGTCCCACAAGATGGGAGCCAGGCATTATTGCACGGCCAGCATCAGACAGAAAGAACATTCTGCTGTGCTTGCCCTGTGTCATTGTGTCTGGGCAGGCAGTCAGAGCCTGTAGCCTCAGGAGTGAGGTAACGCTTAGGTGACCCAGAGCAAAGCAGAGCAGTTAGGAGGCTTGCATCTACACTAACAGAGCCATGCAATATAATAGGGCCTCTCATCTACCCCTGGGTCTGCAGTTCATGTCCCCTTGCTAGCTGAGGTCTGCCCTCCCACTACCTACTGCCATTCCAGGACAAAATGCAGAGGCTGGCAAGCTGTTTGAGGAAAAGCCTCCAATGGCAGTGTCTGGCTACTGGTCAACCAGTGCAGCTAGGGGAGGACAGATGAAGATAAAGTTGAGAATCCCTGAGCCCAGGGTCCTCCATCTCCTAAGCTGCTCTGGTGGCAGACAGATAGCTCTTACCTTGGCAGCTATCCCAGCTTCATAGAAAGCCTTGTCTGCAGGGAGGAGCTCAGTGTGGCGCAGCAGGGAAATGGACAGCTTCGCAGCCACAGTGTCCTGCAGCCACAGAAGACAGTAAAGCCACAACAATCAGCATAGAAGAATCAGGTTGGAAGGGGTCTCATGAGATCATATTGCCCCAGCCTCACGGCAGGGACTTTGTACCCACATATTCTTGACATGTAACAAACAAAGGTTAAAAACGTCAGTCGTGACCCTAAGTACCCTCACTATGCGAACAGACAGGAGGACTGTTACCTGAAGATTAAATTCTTCTGCTTTATAAACCTTGCTATTTTTTTACTAGAAGCCACACCCAAAATCTCACCATTTGAGTCACAGAATAGTTGAGGTTGGAAGGGATCTCTGGTGATCACCTAGTCCACCCGCCCCTCGCCTCATTCAAAGCAGTCAGCTACAGCAGGTTGTTCAGGAACACGTCTGGTCAGGTTTTGAGTATCTCAAGGGATGGAGACTCTCCAGCCTCTCCAAGAAACCTGTTCCAGTGTTCAGCCACAGTCACAGTAAGTTTTTTCTTGTATTTACTCACATAAGAATTTTGGAGCTGGGGTGAGGAATTCAAGGGAGATGATTTCACGTTTCTGCTTGCCAGATAGGTTCTCATCACACCAGAACTGGGAACATCACCCCTCCTTCATGGTCCCAAATAGACTACCCAATACCTCAACATTCCACAACTATGTGGGTCTGTACAGGTTTCCAAGACAACAGACTTAGCTCTTTTGGTCTGACATGTCTCTGGACCCCCAACATCTACACACGCACAACCAGAGGGAAGCCCCAGTCTCCCCTATGACTTCTACTGGGGTCCTAGCTGTGGCAGCCTTTCTTCTTCACAGCCTGCTCTATCACAGCTCCAGTCCCACACATACAGAGCTCTATCACAATTCCACAATCCCATATGGATCAAGACTTCAGCAGGGACTCTACTATATATCATGGCCCAGAACAAATCCCAATGCATGTAAGACTCAAAAATACTCACAGTGCCTTGTGAGGCCTGGTACCCAGGCCCATGAGCTCCCAAAGCCCCAGAGAAGGCACAGCACACAGGTCTAGTATCGGCCAAAGCCCTGTGTGATGCCAAGCACCCAGGCTCACGAGCTCCCAAAGGCCCCCCCCGCAAGAGACCCAGCACACACGCCCACAAGCTCCCAAAGCCCCGTGCAAAGCCAATCTGCTCTCAAGACCATGTGTGAAGGCCAGCAGCTCTCACGGCCCAGGACAGCTGAAGAGGAAGCAATGCCTCTCCTGGGAATGCCAGATCTTCACGCGATCCCCAGATTTCTACTGGTACCTCTGCTCTCACAAGTCATGCCAAGCATATAGATCAGCTTCCCACTGGTTTACATCTCAGTCTCAGTGGCTGGAAGCAGGTCCCACTATAATCAGTCAGAGAAGACTCGCTCCAGTTCCACCTGCTAGTTGTGGGCTGCCAGATCACTACAGTACCATTCTCATGCATCCATGACGTGTAAGTGATCCATGAAGTGGAATAGTGAACTATGGATAGCCCTGAACCTGCACATCCCCACAGGGTTCTCCACTCAGGGTGGTGAACTGGCAAAGGAACTTCAAAAATCTTACCAGCTGCATCACACCCTGAGCTGCGGAGCGGGTGGCATAGTAGTGAGTGATCAGCAGCATTGTTTCAAACCCTTCATGTGCTGGAGTGTTTGCCTCACTTGACTTCACTAAGTTTTCACACTGAAGAAGAGAAAAAGAGAGTAATTCAGAACATGAGAGCACAAGGGCACTCTTCATGCACTTGAGTCCAGGGAAAAGTTGGGAGAGAGAAGGCTCTGAAATATCCAGGCACCTCTGGGGACTGGAAAAGGGCTGGGCCTTGGGTGCTCCGGATCCTACAGCGTGCTGAAGGGAGGAGGCTGTGGGAGAAGGGGGCAGTCATCAATACTGCAACAACAGACAGCACTGGAAGCTGGGGTGAGTTTGGATGGACAGGGGAGGATTTGGGGATTTCGTTTGTGCTAGAGGTGGGTATTAGTGGGACAGAAACAGAGAAGAGGCCATCATGGGCTCTGGCTGAGGTATTTTGGGACAGGGAAGAAGGAGCAGAAGGCTCTAAGCATCTCTGGGGAGGACTCTTATTTTCGAGGCTCAGTAGTTTTGTGTTTTCCCCGGGTCCTTGCCCCATGCAGGCTGCCGAACCTGGCTGCAGGACGAAAAGTGAACACGTTGTGACAGGCTCCCGTGTAGCAGTGACACAGTGAGCCAATGTCCAGACCCACTTCTAGGATTTGGCTTTAAGTGCAGGCTCATCTTCTTCCCCAATTCCCACACTCACCAGATTGAAGAGAACATCACGCAGGTCAGCCCAGCGGGAGTATGCCTCGGCACAATTCATGCCAGATGCGTTCACCATCTCCACAAAAAGACGCTTATAAATGTTGAAGTTCTGCAACAAAAAGGAGAGAAATCTTGAGGGAGCCAGACGGGGAAGTCAGCGAACATCTGGAGCTCTCCGGCTGCCAAGCACAGGCGGAGGGAACGCAGCCCTGCACACAGGCTCCTGGAGCAGCACTGCTGCAGATTGCTGGTTGCAAGGGGTGCTGCAGGACAAGGCAGGGAAATGGGGAAGAATGCTTCCTGCAGCCAGTGCTCCGAGAGAGGCAAACATGGTTCTTTTGATGCTGGACTTGGTGATTGAGGTGTTCAAAACAAACACAAATGCTCAACTCCCCCCTGCTCCTTCCCTGTGGAGAACATGCCAGGAGATTGCCTTTAGTCCTCCAACTGAGGAGCCTCTGGAAGAATCCACAGCAGGGCTGAAGTGGCTTGGACAGGTTGAACACTCGGCAATCCCAGTTCTGGACTGCAAGCCTGACTCATGTAGCAGATCAGAGCACACTCTGGCAGCTCACACTGGGACGTCATGCTGTCTTCATTACCTGTGGGCTGGCAGGTGCTCCATGGTGGACATACAGGCTCAGGGCTTTGTCCCAGCTGCCCTCCCGGATGAGGTGGGTTGCATACAGAGCTACATACTTGTGCAAGACTTTATAGTTCTGGAGAAGGCACACAGAAAGCAGTAGGATGAGATTCATGAACCGAATGCTTGTCACTTGGTGGGGGCGGTTTCAGATGCGTGTACACACACCTGTACACCCAAGTCTCAAGGAGCAAGACCAGGTAATCAGACAGAGACAGACTGCACACAGCAGACCTGGTTTTTGATTTGGGCTCCACTTGACACCTCTAATCCTGGCTAGCTGATGCTGTGCTGATCACTCACACATGCAAATAAGGCTGTTTTTCAGCTGTTCACCACTTGCCAAAGAAATACTGCCAAATACCTAAAGGATACAGTATCTCCACAATGTGGCACTACAGGTACCAATGTAAACCAGCCCTTAGTCGAATGAAAGAATGAAACAAAACACTTTGTGGACTGAAGATGTTCACAATTTGCAAGGCTGCTCTAGTCCATTATTCAAATGCTGTCAGATCTCTGGGACCGCAGGCCTCCTTGGAGCGCTGCTCATACACGTGCTGATCACACTTTGCTGAGGACTGACTGTAGTTGGCCTTACAGAAATTCAACTGAGGAAAGACTTGTTTCACACAGGTTTAAATACATTAATGAGATGAAGAAGATGGCGCAAAATGTGCAATCCTGTTAAAAAATGAGCAACGGAAACAAGTTTATTAAGTAGGAGAGAGACCAGTGCCCCAATGATACGTCTAGAACTTGAACAGTCAGATGTGGATGGTGGTGAAACACTAGGTACAGGACAGTTTGGGATAAAGGTTAAGTCTGGTATGTGATCTGTTTTGATAAATGTAACTTTTTTCCTGTATAATCACTGTAGAACAGCTGAGTCAAAAGTCGTGAAATTCTGCACTGGTTATGGAGCAAGGTTGTGCTAACGCTCTTTTAGAGGCATAAACAGACTAACATCTTCTTGGACTAAATGTGGTAGTGTTGTGCCTGGCCAACAATAAAACTGATTAAGCTTTACCATTAAACTGAGCACGAAGTTATTCTTTATGGAAGAAGATCAATATTGGTATCTCCTGATAATTAGAGTTTCAGCACAGGAGTCTTCAAGATAACAACTACTACAACAAAGACCATTTGGATCCCAAGAGAAGCCCAAGTCAAAAAGAAATCAAGTTTGCTGTAGCAGAGTCCAAACTCAGGTTACTGGCTACTGCATTAGAAACAAAGTTATAAAAATGCAGTACAACACATTGCCAGTGCTCCTCCAAGTTATCAGTGTTTGCCTGAGCAATGCGCTGTGATGTCTCCACTAACTGCAGACTCCATTGCCAGGGGCTGCCCTGTTAGTCAATTTGAAGTAATACCTCACTCCAAAGAATCAACACCTGCCCTTAGTGTAGCTCCATTATCAATACATTGAATCGACAACCAATCAATAACCAATAACCAATCAATAACCATTGAATACAAACAAACCCTCGAAGTCAATCCTAGTAATCTAGCATTTTTCCCCTCCTGTTATTGCATTGGAAAACTACTGTAAAACACCTTCATTTTGCTTTTCTCCATTTTTATTATTCTGCTGAGGTAATTTTGTTAGTTTTAGGCCAGTAAAAACGAAAAATTTTCAAATTTGCTTTCATGACAAGGATGCCTCATTTCTACTGACACCAGGCCTCTAAAGAACACATAGAAAGAAGGCTTTCTTTTCAAATCTCTCTGTTTCCATGACACCAATTACTCCCAGCCTAAACAACTAATTTAGCTTTTTCAAATGCTCCATTAATCTCAAAATTTAAACCCAGTATGCTTCTGGGTTCTAATGCTTCCCTACCAGGCCTGACTGGCCAAGATGGGGACAGCGGAGGGGTGTTTTCTGAGCTGCTGCAGTGACTCCCCGTGCTGCTTGGCCCTGCCCATTCATTCCAAAAAAATTCAGAGAGCCAGGACCCCACGTCTGTCTCCTGAGGGCTCACACAGGCACTCACCTGCTTAGCTGCAACCTCCAGGCACTTCTCCCATTGCTCCTGCTCTGCATACATATCCAAAGCAGCCATGACATCTATTCCCACCAGCTGGCGATAGAAAAAAACATAAATTGACTGTGCAGGCAAGGTTTCTTACTAGCCTCAACGCAAGCATCAGCCCACCTGGGTCTCCTCTTCACGTACACATAGTGGTATGGAAGCACAGAGTCAGTGTGACTCATCTGGTATGCAGAAACCATGGCTCATAGGCACATACATGCTCCTCACTCGTGGGCATATTCAGGCAAAAGCTCCATGAGAAAGGCCCCAAGGATCTGCATGGATCCTGACATCACTCCCTAGCTTGTGAGACATCCCAAATACGTACCGAATCTACCTTTCCTTGGGTCTTTAAATACTCCTTGTAACGCTGGTCCACATACTCCTCTGACCTGCTGGGTAGAAAGAACCTTAATAGGCAGCAAGACTAGTAAGTGTCTTGCATCAGTGCAGAGGCTGAATTCAACTTTGTCTGCTTTGGGAAGAAGAGGACTGTGCCATGTCTTTCTGGCCTGCTGCTGGGAGCATAGGTAGAAGGGGAAAGAAAGTGTCTAGGCAGCTCTTTGCAATATAATGTGTGAGGAGAGAAAGGGATCACAGGACTTTCAGAAAGAAGTGCATGCACAGGATTATGACAAGGGAAGGGGAGATAGGGACAGGGATGGGACAAAAGGGAATAATGATTTCCACGGGATGTGTGGCAATAGAAAAGTGTCAGGATGGTAAATAGCTTAGGAAGGGCAGCTCTGGAGAATGTGTCCTGTCGAGCCTGGGAAGGCCACTGTGGGGAGAACCCAGGGAACCTGGGGGCAGCAGGATAGGACAGGACAAGGGATCTTCTAGGGGTGGAAGAGGGAGCAGGAAGAATATAATTTGAGAAGTTCAAGGCATACCTGGCGTCCAGCTCCTTGGCCACACGCTTGGCTTTGCTCCATTCCTCTCCTTCAATGAAGGCATCGATAGCTTCCTGGATGAGGTCCAAGTTGAGGTAGAGTTCAGCTGCCTGCAGGGCCAGAGACAGTCCCACGGGAGATAAAACCTGAATGGCACCCTGCAGCCCGGGCTGGAGCTGGTGCTGTTGGAAGTGCCCAGCACACAGCAACAACAGAAAGCCTCTTCCCAAAAGATATAACCCCCCTTCTCTGCTTCCTGCCTCCTCCCAAGGCCTGGCTCTCTCACACTATGCCAAGACTTGATCCCTTCCCCTCCTTCCTCCTCCTTGAAGACTCTGTGCTGCCTAACTCTGGGTAGGGCCATCCACCCATCACCCCTGGATGTGATTTGGCCACCTTCCCGGGGGCAGAGCTCTCCTTTCCTATGCCACTGCTTCTTCAGTAGTCTGGGGGCAGGAGCCAGCCCTCACCGCACTGTATTTCTTCATGGCCACCAGCTGAGGAGCCACAGTCCGCGTCACCTCCATGCTCTGTGACTGACCCAAGAATTTAATGGCCAACTCAGCAGCCTGTGAAGAGAAATTGTCAGCAGCACAGGTGATAAAAGCTGTTTGAGAGAGGAATGAAGCTGGGAAGAGCTCAGTCCTAGCTAAAAGACTGAAAGTCAGGAGCGCTTGAACTATGGGCAAAGGGGAGAAGAAATGACAGCTCACTTCAGCAATTCAGAGAAGGAAAGCCCAGCCACTTTCACACATGGGAGAAGATCAGACAAGGACATAATTGTTGAAGTTGGTACAAGGGCACAGGTATGAGCAAAAAGTATGAACAAGAACACAACCCAAAGGCTGGTGGACATAGACCACAAGAAGAAGAAGGGGTGCTCATCTAGCCAAGGGCTAACTCATAAAGTCCAGCTCTTCCGTGCAGGGAGATATACGCACAAAGACACTGGCATGCTGCTGGAAGTGGTGCCAGAGCAAGGATGTCAGTGCAGTGCAGGATAGGCACACAGTCCACTATGGCTCAAGAGAACGGCCATGAATGCTTTCAGATCCTGCAGTCACTGGAGCCTGCAGATCCTCTCCTGTGCCCTGCAGTGCTTGAAATTCTCTCTGGGATGCACTGCAGATTAGGGGAGACCTCCTAGACAGCAGAGCAGAGGAAGGGAATCACAGCCCCTGACTGTACCTTCAGCAAGCACTTCTCCATCAGGACACTGTTGCTGGGATCCTGCACCTTCAGATAGCAGTCCACTGCCCTGGCATATTCCCCAGACTGCTCCCACTCCTGTGCCTGCTCCAGCAGCCCTTCTGTTCCTCTGTAGGGAGGAATGCAGGCCGTGAGCAAGACTGGGATGCTGCCACAGAGATCCTGTAGTGCGTAGGGCATGGGCACGGAGGTGCACAGCAGAGGTAAGCTGGGCACTTCAGAGGGAGCTGAGCGTGTGACAAGGAATGCACACAGCCAATGCTGAGGAGAGAATTGATTAAGGACCCTGGCAGTACAGGAGACCTCAGAGATCTGTAAGTGGCAAGAAGACATTTGGGAGACCTTGGATGGCAAGAGTAAGCCTGGAGTCTCCCAGAGCAGGGAGGAAGGATGTTAGGAAACCTATGCAGCAAGAAGTCTGTGGTCCTCAAGAAGGAAACAACTGGATGTCGGGGATCCCATCAGGCTATCTCTGTAAGGCATCAGCACAATGGCCAAGGGGAAGAGCTACCTGTCTGTTCCCTACAGGCTGATCATAGCATTCCTTACCTGGAGCCCTTCTTGGCAGTCTCCCTGCCGCACTCCTCCTGTAACTCTTCTAGCCGACCAGGCACATATTCCTTGCAGATCCGCAGGGCCTCACTCCACATGCCAGCCTCCTGCACAAGCACAATGAGGAGAAATTTTCACCAGTTCACCAGGATCCCCCACACTCCTGGCATCACATAACACATCTAGCCTCTCATGTCATCTTGCCAGAGGAACCACTGGAAGAAACAACCACAGCAGCACCGTTCAATTCTTTCCTGCCCCAAAATGGCACCTATGTCTATCCACTCACCCAAGCTACCTCAGAGGAAAGTGCTCATCCATCCCAGCTACCTCTGTGGAATGGGCCCTTAGAGTCTCCAAACACACCCACTCGTGCTGCCCCTAAGGACTATCCATATCGTGGCAGGATACTTCCTCCCAGAGCTATGAGAGAGCTAGCTATGCTGTGAAATCCCTACTGGTTCAGTCTTCTAAGAGCAGGCTAGAATTAAGTTCTACTACAAAATACCTGAGTAAATGGTTTCTCTTTGGCTACTGAGTTGACAGGGAGAGCTGGGAGAGGGATTTCACTGCTCCATCCAAATTGGGTTCTTGTCCAGTGAGGAACGCAATGATGTTGCTGCAGACTACGCTCACCTTGTAGTACTTTAGGGCCAGCTCAGGTCTCTGTGCTCGCAGGAGGAAGGCCTCTGCTTTCTGGAACTCCTTCTGCTCAAAGGCAAAACGTGCCTGTCCCACAAGCACAACAGCCACGCCGTCTGGGTCATGAGCCTCAGCCACACGCTGCGCAGCATCCCAGTTCTGGTTATGCACAAACCTAGGGGAATCAATATGAGATGTAACAAGAGGGATTGCAAGGAGCAGACCAATGCTTGAGAAGCAACCAGGCTGGCATCATGCAGGGAGAAAAGATGCAGCAGGCCAGGATGGGGAAGGATACATACATCAGCACTGCCTCCTTGGGTTTCCCAGCTTTAATAAATTCTGCTTCAGCCTCTTCAAATTTGCCCTAGGAGAGAGGAAGGAATTTGCCTGCATGCCTTCATGTCCTGATACCATCGCATGACCATCGCATGACCATAGCTCTTCTACTTACCATGAGGCAGAGAGGATTTATGAAACAAAGGTGTGTGTGGAAGCTTGGGGCTGTAATCGTGGAGCCTTTTAGGTGAGCAGTGACTGCAGCCATAAAAGTGCCTGATGCAGCAGCCCTTAAGGACAACTGTTCAATTACCTGGGTGACTAGAGAACTCCCACCCATTCCCAGGGGTAAAATTACCTCATCTTCCAGGAACATGGCATACTTTAAGTGGATCTCTGGCATCTTCTGCTTCATGGAGAGGCGGGCCAGGTCAAAAGCAAATTCAAAGGCCCTGCAATGAAAGCAAAAACGGGGTGAGAGCAGGCCTATGTGCTGTGAGGGCATACCTTCATCAAGAGCAAGACACCAAGTAGAGCACAGGACACTAGGAGAGGAGAGAGGGGAATACAGAGGGTTCCAAGTGAATGGGCACTGCCCACTCCTCCCATTCCTGACCACAGAATAGGAGTTTTTAGAGCCTCCACTAAGGAAATTCAGCTCCTTCACACTTACTGTTAGTGCCAGAGAACTCTGGTTCAACCCTAAGCGGAGGTCACAAGACTCCCAGGAGCCTAGCAATGTGGGAGAGTTGGGGGAGAGCAGCAGTGAATGGCAGTGCAGTTGGATGGCTGGCCAGGTGCAGTAACTGGCAGGCAGTTACTCACGGTGTCATGAGGAATACCTCCTCCCGTGTTCAGAGGCTCTCATAAGGCCCCTCTGCTGAGGTTAAAAGGCAAACTGCTTTTGCCTGCCCAGCTCTAACTTGACATTTGAGAGACTAACAGGTGGACAGGAAGCAGGATGCATCAAGGAAGCAGAATGCCTGTGGGAAGAAGTACAGGTGGGGTAGGAAGACATGCCATACCCTGGACGTGCAGCTATCGTGTATAGTTATCTTGAGCCACCCCTTTCTTCTCACGCCAGGTAGATGGAAGAGAAGTGCTGGGCTGATGGACTGCTTACCCACTGTCTGCTGCATGGTCAATGGCCATCTCCAGAAGTCCAAATTTACTGAGGAGTTTCACAGCTGCCTCTCCACCCAGGCTCTTTGCCCACATATACGCCACGTGCTTATAGGAATTTGCTCCCCCATGTGCCTTGGCCACCTATTCAAAGCAAAGAAAGCAGAAGAGCCCAATGCATCCATTTCATCTTCAGTGGTCTGAGCCATGACTCTCCCTCATGTCACATGATGCCTGTTGTCACGAGGGAGCACCAAAGATAATTGTTCTCTCCTGAGGAACCCTTCTGTAGCCACCACTGGACTGGGGAGAGTGAGACAAAGGCTGATATGGCAGAGCAGAAACGAGACTGCCGCCTCCTCAGCATGGCCCATACTACTGTTAGGTCAGCAGAAGCGACCCCTGGCAATCTGTGTCCACACTGGAGGGGAGCAGTGTTGGGGGGGCTGCCACAGGGTGGCTATGGGCATAGCAATGCCTCTGAGGTACAACACGGTGCAGTGGTTAGGAGCAGAGCAGTGCCTTGAGGAAGGCACTTCTGCAGACTGGCTAGGGGTCAAGCCCTGCTTTTGGGGTGCAATGCTGCAGAGCAGCAGGCGCAAGGGCCTCCAGTGCTGTGCCACATGCTGAAACTAGGTAGTGTATGCCAAGTCTTCAAATTTTGCGGTGAATAGACAGAGCAGTTCCTGCCATGATCCTGCACTCACAGCCTGATCCCTACACAGTGGGATAGCTGTGAAGTGATTATTACCCTGTAAGCTTCTTCCCACATGTCATTCACTCTGTACATGTTTACTGTGGCTTTCCAGTCCTTGGCTTCTAGGTAGTGGTACTCAGCCTCCTGTAAGCGTCCCTCTGCCTCCAGTTCCTGCAATTAGAGGCAATGAGTTAGTGACACTCCTGTCCCTGCTTGGCCTAGTTGATCTCCTGCCACAAGATGTGCTCACCTTGCCCAGGTGCAGGTGGGTATCGCTGAGTAAGTCCTTGTGGTACTTGGCTACTAGGCAAACCATCTCATCATACATCTTATACTTCTTGTACATGGTGATGGCCAAATCAGGTTCATTCACAGTGATATACAGCCTGGGTGCACAAACACATTCCAATAGCTCAGCCAAGGACATGACCAGTCCCTGCAGTCCCTCTGCATCCTGCTGATCAGGTCCTGGGTATACTGCCAAAAGGCATGACGGGTGTGCAGCATGACTGTTGTGGACTGCAAGGCTGAACACTGCTTAGATAGAGCCTTTCTGTTATGCCACCATCAGCTGCAGTAGGGCAAAGTTATTCCCTCCATCCTCACTTGTCAACCTGACTTGGAGGGAGCCTCTGGGCTTCTGTGACCTGTTCCCATCTTGGTCTCCAACCTGAGGCTGTCAGTCCTGTTGGGCTGGTAGCACGACAATGTCAGTTCAACTTACTCGTATAGGCCAGCAAAAAGATTAAACCCAATGTGATCTCACCAGTTGTAATGCCCCCTTTCATGTACTGGGCATCCTTGAGATCAGATACCATTGCATCAGATACACAGCTGTGTTTGTGCCTATATCTACTAACCTTATTGTGCTATTATTGATCTGGAACTGACAACATTAGTAACCTGGATGGGAAACACTCCACTTTTCATATCTTATCCTCAGCTGACCATGACAGATCAGCTCCAAGTGCTCGGACTAGCACCAAGGAAGATGCTCACCTCTCTGCTTCTTTATACTTGCCCTGCTTCTCCATCTCTTGGGCCTGGGTTATATAGAGCACAGACACATCTTCCTGTCTCATACACTTGACTGCCAGCTGCCAAAAGGAACACACATGGGAGAAACTACAGCACACTGCACAGCAATTTCTTGATACGTGGTAGTGAAGGAGAAAGGGAAAAACAATTTCCTTCCCATTACAAACAGGTATACATGCTATATGCTCTGCAGAGAATGGGGAGTCACTCGTCACTGTGATCAAAGCACACAGGACCAACCCCCTTGGAGAGTGCTATTTGTGTGACAGGTGCACCCACATGGGGCTGCTGAAGTAAAGAAGGGCACAGACGGGATGTGAATACCAGGAACTGGTTTCTTGCTGGCTACTGGATGGCCCTACATGCATCCTTTGGGAACAGTGCTTGTTGATCAGGTGTTGGTGCACAAGGCACCACCACCTCCTGATGAAAGACATTTCACCAAGCAGGGTGAGGTCCCCAGAAGCTTTGGCTTCTGACTTTACCTTGTGAGCCTGTTCCCAGAGCCCAGCCTGTGTGTACATGTCAATGGCATCCTTGGTCTGGTCTCCTTTGATGTACAGCTCCTCTGCAACCTGTAGGGAAATGACCATACTCAGGAGTCCCAAGGGACACACCGAGCAGCAATGATTGTGGTCTGTGGCTTCACCTGATACTCCTGTAAAGCTGCATAGTGCTGGGCAATCTTGAGGTAATATTTGGCTGCTGTCTGTTTGTCCTGCAAGTCCAAAATGTAGATGGCTTTCTTCCACTGCCGGGCTCCCAAGGCTGCCTCAATGGCCTTAATTGAGCACCTAGGATCAAAACCGTAACTCTTTACAGCCAGCCAGCAGCCATCTCCTCCAGCTGAGTTAAGCCAGGGAGAACAAAGTGGTCTGCTGCTTGATTCTTATTCCTGGGTTAGAGCAGCAAAAAGGATCTGAATAACTGGCAAAGCTAAGGGGAAAGAATGAAGAACTTGGACAACAGGGAAGAGTAATCAGGGCTGAAAGACCTTGGGAGAGATGCAGAGAGGCATCCATGGCTGGGGCCAGCAGAGACTGATCACAAGCACCAGGAGCACTAGCAAAGCAAGGTTGAGGGTGCTTGCTTAGGCAAAGCCCCCTGTCAACCATATCAGCTTCATAGCTTGTCAGGTTATACTGCTGCTGGTTGTACAGCCATCACCTGCCCCCACCTGGCTTCAATATAATGGTTAATAGCAGCGTCCAGCTGTTTCTGCTGCACGAGATGGTCTCCCCAGGCCTCCTCCAGCTTCACAACTTCTGCAGGAAATGCCAGGCGAGCCAGCTCCACTGCTGTAAAGGGACATGACAGCTGTTAGGCTGAATCCAGCAAGGAAGCAGATCTGTGAGGTGAACATGGGCCTTGGATGGGGCGCAGAGGGAGGGGAACAGTGACTGTCTCTAATCCACTCCAGCTCCAACGGGCTACCCAGCAATCTGGACCCTGTGGAGAGCTGGATCAAATCCATGCTGGTATAATCAGCATGTTCAAGGCCTTGGGAACAGGATGCTGTTCTGGGACTGTGTGTGCAGGTACAACTATGTGAAAATACATACATTGAATGAGATGACACATGGAAGCTTCAGAGCATCTAGGCATCTCTGGGCTCCAGGGCAACAGCTCATGTTGCCACCAGGCCAGAGTACCCAGGCTCTTGCTGGGGATGGAAGGAGGGAGGAACATATTTAGCACAGTACCTTTCAGGAAGGCACTGCCCTTGCAATAGCACTCCAGAGCCTTCCGTGGGTTCCCGACTTTCTCAAACAGGTCTCCAGCCTAATGACAAATACAAGCTGCCAGTTTCCAAAGCCACTCTCTCCATACACCATCATGTACCTACCAGTCCCATGTACAGAGCTTGTCAGTCCTGCCACACAGGCTTCTCCATCAGCTATGCCTTTCCCACTAACCAAGAGCATGGGGATAAAGGGAACTTCTAGGAAACACTGCATGTGCTGAGATCATTGTCCTCTCTGCCGATCGACATACCCCAAGTGTCTTTCTCGAGTACCATCTTCTAACAAGGCAAGAGTTTTTGAGACAACCTCCCTTCTCTGCACAGTGGCTGGTACACCAACAGCCTTTTCTGTGACCACGGCCCCTAGGAGCTCTGCTGTGCAGATGATCATACAAGAGCCATGGACCTGAGTAGCGAAGGGGGAAGCTCAGCCTCTTGCACCAGTTTTTTTTTACCCTGTAGGAAAGAGTGGCAGCCAACAGGGTGGGATGAGGCTCAAAGCTTGTAGAACTTAGAACATAATATAAGAAAGTTCATCCTGGCAGACCAAAGATTCATTCCCTTCAGTATCTGAATAGTGGTGAAAGCACAGGTCTAGAGAAAGACTGTAAGAACAGAGCAAATATACACCAGCCTTTCCTCCATTATATCTATCCACCTCTCACAATCTGCATTGTAAAAGCTTCCTGAGTTTGTCATGATGCCCTCACATCACCATATTTAAAGGCTCCATGATTTGTCTAATCACTTTTGGACCATTTATACTTTTGATAACAAAACATCTGGCAGCAATGACTTCCACAGTTACTCTTTCAAATGAAGGCTTAAGAAAAGGTGAAGGTTTTGAAAAGCACAAAATTCTCGAGTCAAAATGAAATGGTCAGAAAATGCCAAAGGTAACATGACACTGAAGAAATGTAATTTAATCCCGGAACGTAAAATAGGCCAGCAAAAAGAATTGTTTTTTTTTCACACAATGCATAACTGAACTGGGGAACTCATAGCCAACACTGTAGATCAAAAAAGTATAGATGGTTCAAACAATAATTTGACAAGATCATGGAAGTAAAATTCATCAAGAGCTCTTAAACATAAAACTGTCCAGGTACACTATAGTCTGCAAACTGCTGGAACCAGGAAAGTACGCTAGGGGAAGTACCACCCTATATTTGCCTGCCCTGTTCTTTATTTTCCTTAAACATCTGCAAGAGGCCACTGTTGGTCAGGATACCAAGCTGTACACTTGTCAGACTCAGTACTGCTTTTTTACATTAACATGGTTACGTGCTGTGTGAAAAACATCCTTTTGTTTTAAAACTGTCACCTAATAATTAGTTACCAATTTTTGTGTTATTAGACACAGAGAATAATCACTTGCCTCTCTATGATATTAATGGTCCTACAGATTGTCTTCATAATCTCCTCTGTTTTTCTTCCTTAGCTTTTCCATTTAGACTATCCTTATATGAAAGCTGTACCATCATTTTTTATTCTGTTATGAGGAAGCACTGTAAATTTTCACAGTGACATCAAGTTTTCTGTTTGATTCACAATTTCTTTCCTGTTGGTTCCTATCTTCCCAAGGGCCTCCTTGACTGTTACTCAACACCCAGCTGACGTTTCGGAGACATGTCGCCAATAAGTTGTGCTCTTTTTCCTGACTAATAACAGTAATTCTAGACCTCAGCCATGTATGATGGATGCAGTTAGGATTTCCTCCCAAGCATTAACAGCAAATTTATCAACACAGAACTACATCTGCTACTTTCCAGCTCAGTCCCCCTGTATCTCACAGATGCAGAGGACAGGGTAAGAGCTTTGAGGCAACTAAGAAAGCCCAGTGGGATGAGTCACTCACCTGTTCATACAGTTCCCCTCTGATCAGTGCCGTGGAGACCCTATTGATGACATCCCCATTGGTCAGGAGCTCATCCCTGCTCGTGGCCAGCCGTGCTGCTTTGGCTGGCAGCCCTGCCCGCAGGTATAAACTGATGGCTGCCAGGTAGTCACCCTGTCCCTCTTGGACCTCCCCAGCCTTCTCTTCCTGCTGGGTATCCAGCAGCCACTGGTAGTAACCCCGACGCAACTTATCCAGCATTGGGTGTCCCTGTTGAAAAATGCAGCATTGGTTGACCGGGGCAAGGCAAGATGTTGTCCTGCTCATCCTGCAGGCTCTGAACAGCTAGCTCATGGCACCAGACCTCTTACTGCCCAGTTAGCAGAAACCACAATGCCAGCCCTGTGTACCACTGCATCATCCATTCTTTTTCGAAACCCTAGATACTCCTAAACCAATTTCAGTAGCTTTTCTCCCTCACTATTCACCCAGGTCCATACTTACATCAGTGCAACCTCCCCTTCTCCTTGGAGCCCCTCCAAGCAGAAGTGAGGTCCTGATAGGGCAGGTGAAGAGAACCCAGACCTTGAACAGACTCCCAACCAAAAGACTTATCAGGCAAGCCCAACTCACAGTCCAGTGCAGCTATATTCTGTACCTTGGCCTCGGCAACCACAATGCATTCATCCCACATGTGCAGCTCCTGGTACATGTCCATGGCCTCCTCTGTGGCGTTCTGTGTCAGAGAGCAAAGTGTCAGCCTGAAGGTTCCATTGAGCAGACACATTGCCATTGATGTCTCACAGTGGGCAGGGTTAGATGTGCAGAAAACACTTGAAAAAGTGTACCATCCCCTTTACATGGATATACATTCTCCCTCACTCTCTTCATGCACCTCAACGAAATCCTACACCTTGCAACAAGAAATATCTCCTTTTATTTCAGGGCAAAAACTCTTCTCCCAGAAATAAGCAACCTCTTCCTTTTCTCTTTCACACCAGGGCACAAATCTCCCTGCTCAGACCTTTTCTGCTCCTTGTTCCTTTACTCACCTGTTCCAGGAAGATCATCTCGGCCAGCTTGTAGTTCTTGTCTAGCATGGCCAATCGGGCACGCACCAGGTAATGGTCTGTACCATCCCTACCCTGCAGACAACATCAGTTAGCTCAATCAGTTTGCTGAGTGAAAGAATAGGCTCTGGAATGATACAAGGGAGGTGATTGCAGGTGGGGTCTGTGTCATTACAGAAACTAAAGAAGACAGATGAGAATCACAGAAGTGACAAGACAGGAGCAATATGAAATAGCTAGCTGGAAGAGGGACCTGGGAGGCGTGGATGAAGGATTATGTCAGTAGTTTCTACACAAACAGGTACTGGTCTGTAGCAGGATACTGGTGAGCATAGACACAGGAGATAACGTGTATGCAAGTGTTTACAGGAAAGCAACTGCCCTGCACAGCAAAAATGTTCAACTTACGTGCTCTTTAGCTGCCTGGTCAGCAATGACATTGGTTTCATGCAGAAATCGAGCCTTTGCCATGTTGCCCAGAGCTGCAAAGCACCTGGAAAGAGCAAAGCAGTTAGTCAATAACTGGGTTTTGTTGCCCACTTTTGATCCAAGAAAACAAAATCAGAACCCAGGCAGCAGACCCAGCTCTGCAAGCTGGACAGGGGGGTAGCCCTGCTTCAAGAGGAGGATTTTGCCAAGACTCATGTTCAGATGTGGCCTCTTGCCCTCCTCCATGAGAGAAGCCATGGACATGACCAGTGCTCATGCTTCACTTCCCCAGGCTTCAGAGATGCGCTGAGCTTGTCCATGTCTATCAGCTCCCTGAAGCCTTACTATACACTGGTTTGGGTTACCATCAGCAAAAATTTCTGCTACAGAGTGATGTCTTCCTGTCCCCAGTTCTAGCATTACTGTCTAGGATGAAAGGGCAAACTCATTGTCTGGAATAGAGAACACTTAATTCTCCAATGCAGTGAATCTTCCAGGCCACACAAAAAGTCACATCTTTAGTTAAACCCTGGTTTCTGTGAGGGATTCAGCAAAGAGAGTGTTTAAGCCAGAAGGATGTTATAGCTTCTTCTTGTACCTCTCTGCAATGTGCAGCTGTCTAGCTTCCAAAGCCAGCCTGCTTAGAGTCTTCCACATGGCTTCAGTCTCTGCGGACATTTCCAGTGTCTCCAAAAACGCAGTAGCCCTTGAGACAGAGAGATTTGCAGACTTTCAGTAACAGAATAGAAGAACTCTCTGAGGAAAATCCTAGGCTGAGACAGGAGGCTTCTAACAAAAGTTGCACTGAAAACAAAGCAAGATGGGCGTGACCACTCCTGAAGAGGATTGTATAACACAGGGCCTGACATTATCAGGGAAAAATTCAGAGATCTAGGTGATCCCTATCTGGGCTAAGGTACTTAGAGGCATATGATCAGCAGAAAGCTGTACCTGTGTGGTGCAAGTCCAAAGTGTTGTGTCTGAAGCAAGTCCCTGGTGCAAAGCAGTCTCGCAAGTGGTAACAGTGCTATGAACATGTGAAATTTTCTTCCCTGGTGAATTTTAAAGCCCTGTAACAATGTCAGCAGTGCCCAGTGGATACCATGACTGCTTCAGGCAGTCAGTTTTCACTCTGCACAGCTCCTGAATGTTTCCATGACACTGTCACCATCCCTGGAGGGACAGCAGCAAAAGCACCTCAGTACCACTTCACATCTGGCAGCTACAGAAGACACTTACGCACTGCAGTTAAGTGAAAATTGCCTTCAGTGAATTTCTGTCAGTGTCAATGGGACCAGACAGGCCAGTCTCTTGTGCCCCTGAGTTTGAAACTACAGAGCTGTGAGGATGAAAAAGCTGAACATTCACTCCTGAATGACTCTGCTGTGCATTATAGCCAGAGTTGGCACCAACATCATGCTCAGAGCCTAAGCTTCAACTCTGTGTGGAAAGCTGTGTTGCTGTAGTTCATGGATTGCTGACTCTTGGATGTCTGTTATGTGAAGTGGGCTACCTGCCATCACCATGTTGTGTATCTAGCACTTACCTGTGATAATCCCCATCATCAATGGCAGTTCCAAACTCTACGAGGCCTTCGTCCAGTGTGTAGGACACAGTGTTCACCCCTTCAGATACTATCACTTCAGTCTTTCCATCATTCCGTTCCAAGTCTACAATATCCCCCTGGAAAGAGCACCAGCTATCAACACTCCCATGTTCTCATAAAGTATGCAGGGTAACTGCGATGTGAGGACAGCACTGCAACAGCTCTGCTGATTAAAGTTTTCCTGAATGAGCTCACAGTGAGCAGACATCACCCTTATCTCACCAGAGGGAAGGAAAAAGCTACTGAGCAGCTCCTTGCTATATTAACTATCTCCATCTTCCGTGAGAAATGCCTGCCACAAAGTTGATAGATGAGCTCATATTTATTCCAGAAGAAACTAGCAGTTCCCTTCTGCCTCCCTTCCGTAACACCACCCTGACTGTTCCCACACACACGAGCAAGAAGTAACAGAAACTGCTGGAGGTAATCAAAGTTTCCATAGTTTTACCTTCAGAGGAAACATGGTGACTCGCTCTGGAGCATCAATGTTATACCAAATGCAGAGGCTGTTTCTGTTCTGAGCCACTACCACATCACTGCCTGGGACCCACTGCACATAGGAGCAATAGTTCAAAATGGTAGTCTTGGTGCTGCTTTCAATGTCATAGAGCTGCAACTACAGGGAGGAAGAGGAGAAAAAGGCTCAGTTGGGCTCATGGCTGGGCTGCTAGCTCACATGAACATCGCAGGAACATCCGAGCAAGCACCTTGTAAACAGATAGTACCAACCAGGAATCGGACTTTTTCCAGGATATGTAGCCCAAACTCCCACACTGTTACTTACACACATTACTATTCAAGACTTAAGATCTTTTTAAATCCTTGCAGTATTTTAAGTAGCATGCTCAGATCCCGCCTTCCTTGTTGCTAGGCACGTACATATATAAACCAGAATATGCCTTATGCTACTTCAGTTCCCTCTCAGTTGCAGAGCTGGAACAGGAGAATGGTCTCTTAAGTCCTTCATGTAAACAAACTGGGTGACCAAGAAGGGCCTTCGTCTGCAGTTTTGGGCTGAACTGTCCATCGTAGGTACAGTCCTATTGCAAGAACTGTTGTCAATAAGGTGAGAGGGTGTTTGTTTGTAGAATACACTGCCCTGAAACAAACCTGACAATTTGGAAGGTGTAACCTGACACATGGCAAAACAAAGATGTATGATGCCTTGTAACTTAAAAGTCCTAGGCCCTCTCCTCCTTGTCATAATTGTCCTTACCTAGCAAAGATGACAAAAATAAGAGAGAATTGTGCTAGTCTCATGACATACCAGTCAAAAGAGAACAAGAAAGTCCCTGTTTCAGTCTGTACCAATCTGATGGGAGAAATATGTTCAGACATAGCTTAGGAGAATCATGGTACTGCCTGATTTAGGCTGGTGGCAGTATTTAATGAAGGAGCTGCCTACTTAGCCTCTTGATAGGCCTGAAAAGGAGCCAGAAGAGGCAAGAGCAATCTTGATGATGCCACTGTCTCTTGTTGAGACTGTAAATTAGAGGACCCAAATATAAACTGAACAAGACTGCAGAAATGAACATAAAAAGATATATTGCTGGAAAAGTTCTCACATGACAGGACATACACAGTTTTGTGGAAATGTACATATCACTTACAAATAGAAGCTTGTTTCACCTGGTGCAGGCTGCAATCACTGTTAGTACCTTTCTGAAGAGTATCAGTGCAGCAAAGCCCAAACAGAGGCCCTTGCTACTGGCAGCGATTCAGACTCCTTTGTAGTGAAGGTCTTTCTTGATTCATACTTTTATGGCTATGTGAAAGTAGTGTCCTAAAGAGCTGTAGACATGGAACAATCCTCTTCCTGAGAGTTAAGAGGGTCTTGATTAGAGAGGCACTCTAATGCAGATGCAGGCATTACATTTTTTGCAAATCCACATTGGGCCACTCCTTCCATTTCTCTGGAATCACAAAGAACTTGTAGGTGTCCTTGTTCTGTGATGGCCCAGAACCAGAACTACAGTCCCTGTGCAAGAAAGACTACCTCCAGCACACTCTTGCGAGAGAAGTCTGCGGTAAAGAGTTTGTGAGGTCGCAGATGTATGCACTGCAATCTTTGGGTACAAAGCTGAGCACTCTAGTTGCTAGCTGATAAGCTTGGCAGCAATGAATCAGCCATGTGTGAGTGATAACAACCAGACAGGTAATTAATTGGAAATCTGTGATTCCCAGGCAAGAAGATATCTTTGCATCCCCTACAATCTATGATGCAATCTTAGGGGTCAAGCTGCCAAAAATGATGGAGGAGGAGCAGGTCAGTGAAGAAACCTGAGGTTCCTGTCTGAAATGTGAGGGGTGAATTCAGAGTTTCTTCTGAGATGAGGCTGAGAAAGTTCTCAGGGATTTCAACACATACACATGTATGAGCATAATACTTCACCCATCCTTGGACGAAGAAGCGAGGTACAGCCAATGTGGAAATATTCTACTGCAGACTGAGCCCCCAGTGGCATCTGAACTCTGGAGCAATTAAAATCATCCTGTAATGAGCTGCAGTGCTACAGCTGGGGTCTGCCACAGCATCTGGGACACGTGCATAGAAATTCTGGATATGTATTACACCATTGTCAAGAAGGTCATGTTCTCTTCTCAGGACACTCTTGTGACAAGAGGAGCAAATGAAGTCAAGCAGTCAAGGAGCCTTACATTCATAACAGTGAAGAAGGCTTGACAGTTAACTGAGTGCAACTGTAATACAGTTGATAAATACACCTTCTTGCCTGCTGCAGTGAGCTTCTTCAGCTGTATCTGTACAATTAAACTAAACATGGCTAGGATATGAGGCAAGTACCTGCATATCATAATCTGCAGTGTGAAAGCACTACCATGATTTTGGGCATAGTTTTGTCTTATTAGTACTGGGCTTATTAGTACTCTCCCAGACAGCATTCAGTCATGGTCTGGGAATCAGCACGAGCCAAGGGCCATACCGAACAAGCTATTTGGTTCTGACTATGCTGTTTTAGAGAACTAGAGACTTCATTACAGACATAAGCCAAGTTGTTGCAGAGAACACCTTTTTTTCATTTACATATTTAAGTGCAACAATAGGGTCCCTATCCTGAGATTAACCCACTTGTCTTCATCTCACAGCAGAAGAGTCTATCATTTTCATTTTCAGGTGTGATGAGATGGAGCAAGATGTCTAGTAACTAACTTCAGAATTAGCTATGACTAAAGACCAAACATGCAATGCTGCCAGCTCATGCAATCTGAACATGATCTACCTTTCTCAAAGGAGTGGTTAATCATGAGTACTACAGATGCATTTCTCACCTCCCTCCCTCCACAGAATCACAGAATCCATTTGGTTGGAAGAGACCTCTAGGATCATCGAGTCCAACCTTTGCCCTAACACCCCCATGTCAACTAGACCATGGCACTGAGTGCCATGTCCAATCTTTTCTTAAACACCTCCAGGGATGGTGACTCCATCCCCTCCCTGGGCAGCCCATTCCAATGCCATTCAGGCATATCTGTCTTTACCTCTCCCTAGGCACACCATCTTGCCACACTCCCCTAGGTGCACCCGCCTCACCCTCGACTTCTTGTCCCTGAAGAGTAGTTTGTGGCCTGTTTCATTCAGCTCCAGCCAATCAATCTTGCTGTCATGGCTGATAGTGCCAGTGTTGTAGCCACCAACAAGGTCCACTTGGGAAGGAAAGAAAAGAAACAGTGTTAAGTACCTAATGTGCCCCAAAGCACTGAACATTCAATGCTGTCCCATGGGGATCAGCTGCCTGGGACCTGATTACGGCATGATCCCCTGGCAAACACACTGTGACATGAAAAGCAGACTGTGGTGACACTTTATCTTGATGACTTATCAACAGCAGTAACTCCCTTCACCCTTCTGTGAGCATGCACACATCACAGGCAATGCAGACGGCAATATCATCATCCTGAACTGCACAGAACCTCAGGTCCAGGACACAGTCACAGCCACCCCACAGTTGTGTCCACAGCAGGCACGCAATCTGCCAAAAGCAGGACAGCCTCGTCTCTAGTGGTCTGCTGCCAGACAGAGTGAATGCACAGGGGGCCTTCGGGAATCTGCTACTTGGTAAAGTGAATGAAAAGAGGACCTTCAGGGATATGCTGCCTGGCACAAAAAATGGAAAGAGATCAGGAAGGTTGACAAATACAGGGGAAGGAGGTTTAAATTCACCTGTTGCTATAGTCTTGATGTCTATCAGATAAGCCAGTCTCTTGTTCTCCTCCACGCCCCTCTGCCGTCTCTCATTGATACGGACACTGTTATTTGAAGGGAATGATGACCATTACCTTTACTACTCTCTAAATTCACAGGACTGAATGATGTAGCCCCTCCCAGACTTACCTGCAGTTACCCCAAGCACATGGAGCATCTTGCAGTTCTCTGACCTGTGACTCTTGCACGGTACCTACGGCTGCCTCAAGTGAGAACAAACCTTTCTGATTCATGGCTTCACTCTGGAAACCACCCCTCTGGAACCAGGGTCTCCAACAGCAAATTAGTTACGCTGCTTCCACCTCTGAGCAGCCCATGATCCTCCCTTCTCTTGAATCAGAAAATGGAGTACAGTATTTCAGAGGGACAGAGGAGGTCCTGCTGGCATCTACAGTAATGCTGTACTGCAACCATCCAGATGCAGAGATGCCCGAGTAGAGGCACAGGAGGTCCCTCTTCAGCAACAGCCAAGTCAGGTTTCAAAAAGCATGTATCAGAGGAAAATGGGCTCTTGTGCTTCTAAAACTTTACAACCATTAAATGTAACCGAGCAATTAAACCCTACCATTGGTCACTGTCAGAAGCAGATTACTCAGGTCCCAGTGTCTGGGGGCTGCATTCTACAGAGTGGGACACTTTCAAGTGTATATATCTGAGGCTGCTCTCACAAAATGCCTGTACTGGCCACGCAGGCAGGTGTGACTCTTACCTGACAAGATGAGGGTTCATGAACTCTGTGCGAACAGACCCCAGGATGTCATTGCTTCCATATTCCACCAGTGTCAGCTCTCCAGCATTAAAGATCATGCAGACCTGAAGGTGAGAGGGGAACACACTCTTACAGAAAAGCCAGGTAAGCACACATACCTACCAGTGAGGTCTGCAGAAAAGAACTCTGCTGCAAAGTCTAAAACCAAACCCTCTGAGATGAGTAAGGAATTGTCCTTCACTTCCTGTTGTGACTGCCAGCTTTTCCTCAGGGTTGGGGAATTTAGGTCTGGGCCTACCAGTCCTGCAGGAGCCAAGCTGTCACCCTGACAGCTGTATTCTGTACCTCTAACATCCTCTCTGGCTGTTGCTCTTTTATTGCTCCTCTCCTCTATAGGGTTATGACTTGTATAACTTGACAGTCCACACACACTGAGTTTGTTCTGTACCTGGCATGTGAAATAGGCAAGTATGGGGAGGAAGCAGATCAGGATCTGCATGGAGAGGGTAAGTCCAGGAAACTGCTGAGAAACAGGGTTTTCCAGAAGTCCAGTTGACACTTTTTCTGGTGGTGCACACAGCTTTACTCATCATTCATGGTTAGTATCCTGTCCCATCCAACTTACATTCTCATTGTCAAAGAAGAACTTCTCATTCCCTCCAGATCCTTGCCAGGCTACCTACAAAGCAATGGCATGGAGTAAGCAAATGCCAGGCTGACAGCTCCTGCAAGGGACCAGGTTGCAGGCATTGTGGTGATACCAAAGGGTTAAACAATTTCGTTAAATTAACAGGAAAACAGGCACATTCTTTAGCCTGGCATCCCAAGGTTGGGAAGCATTAAGAAAACAAAGAACAAATGATAAAAAAGGGACACTGTTATCTAATTTAGTAGGTAAGAATGCAAAGAGACCTTCAAGGGACAGAGTTCTGGTCATCAAAGGAGCCAAACTGATAAAATGTTACAACCCACAGACATCAGCAATAAATTGGTTGAGAGTAGGACAAAGGTCATTGTGGTAGTGTGAGATCACAACCTCCAACTCAAATCCCCCCTCCCGCTGAAAGAGGCAAAAACCCCACTTGGCGAGCATGCGTAGTTGATGAAAAGGCTTCATTACTGCTATCTGAGGATGTGCACTAATTTATGTTAGAAGCGAGAAACTTGTAACCAATCCTGAGTGTGAATAACAATGAATATGTAGTGTACTATGAATATGCAATTATTTTATTGTATATAATGTGTATCTTCATTTGGCTTGGTGTGCACGCTAGGAGGAGAATCCCCCATACACCCAGCGCTGCAACAAACTACCATGTGGTTTAGAGTTTTCTTGGTTATGATTTTCGGTAACAGTGGTCCTCTGTCCAGCTCTCAATTCCCACAACAGATAGCAAGAATTACACTGCAGAAGGAATCACGTTCCGGCACTTCAGCTGTCAACACTGTTGTTCAGTCATCCCTAGCTTGCAAGCTCCTCACTTCCCTCTCATTTTTTTAACCTCTGCTTCAGACTCCTGTTCTCTTTGTGTAGTATCTTATTGCCTTCTGGAGAAGAGGCCTTTATGTGACCAATGTACTCGCTGTAGCCCATTCTTTCACAGGCACTTCTCGACCTTCCTCAGACTAACTCTACTATAGAAAGCACCCCCAACAGCCCCTTTGCCTCCGTAAATGTTCTCCACAGAATCAGTCCTACCATTTGTGGTGGCAGAATCTCCACACCACATGTAGCTGAAACCCTTCTTTTTTTGGGGCCATGTTAGCAATGACTGATCAGCACAGTGCCAGTGGGGGACCAACTGATTTGGAATTTGAGAAAGGCACTGGATAATACAATAGTTACTGTGATGACAACAGGCAAGTGGTTAGAGAGGTAGAAAACTGAAAGCCAAGGCTGCAGCTGTCCTCTTCCCTCCCTGAGCAAGAGCTCCAAGTCACTGCTTCAACAAAACTCCAGTGAGACACCAAGACAGTAAATGGACCACTCACAACCCTATTTTTTAAAATAAGTGAATATAGCTGTACAAATAGAAGAAAAACTCCTCTGTGCAGTATGATGTAGACAAACCTGGGAGATTTATTCTGGCCAGATTTTCAGTTGGATTACCAAGTATCAGTATCTTCCAACTCAAATCTGTAGTCAGGAGCTCCTGCTCCCAGCTAGATCAATTAGCACACCGTTAGCCTGATTAAATGTATATGATACCTGTGTGAACAAAGCAAATATGTCCTAAAGCCTATTTAATACTTTTATCATAGAATCATAGAATGGTTTGGTTGGAAGGGACCTTAAAGATCATCTAGTTCCAACCCCACTGCCATGGGCAGGGACACCTTCCACCAGACCAGGTAGCTCAAAGCCCCATCCAGCCTGGCCTTGAACACTTCCAGGGATGGGGCATCGACCACCTCTCTGGGTAACCTGTGCCACTGCCTCACCACCCTCACCATGAAGAACTTCTTCCTAATACCTAATCTAAATCTACTCTCTTGCAGTTTAAAGCCATCACCCCTTGTCCTGTCACTCCCTGCCCTTGTAAAAAGCCCCTCCCCAGCTTTCTTGTCAGCCCCTTTAGGTACGGGAAGGCTGCTATAAGGTGCCCCGGAGCCTTCTCTTCTCCAGGCTGAACAACCCCAACTCTCTCAGCCTGTCCTCACAGCAGAGGTGCTCCAGCCCTCAGATCATCTTTGTGGCCTCCTCTGGACTTGTTCCAACAGGTCCATGTCCTTCTTGTGTTGGGGACCTCAGAGCTGAAGGCAGGACTGCAGGGGGGGTCTGACCAGAGCGGAGCAGAGGGGCAGAATCTCCTCCCTTGACCTGCTGGTCACGCTGCTTTGGATGCAGCCCAGAATAC